GAATGTGATTCAAGGGGATCTATCATTTTAAAGAAATACATGGAGTACAGGAAGTTAGCGAAATTGACCTCTGATATTAATTCATATAAGAGCAATTTGCTCTCAGCTGGGGCAGAAGGGCCCGACCCTAGAGAGGTTGAGTTATATCTGGAAGAGATACTGTCTTTGACGCAGTTGGGTGAGGATTACACGGAGTACATGGTGTCCAAAATAAGGGGATTGACCTCTGTGGATCCAGAATTAGTTCCCCGTGCCACAAAGGCGTTTAGGAGTGGGAATTTCAGTAAAGTTGCTCAGGATGTTACTGGTTACTATATCATTTTGGAAGGATAAGTTATGGTGGAAAATGTGAGGAAAGTCATCAAAATCAATGAGCATGTGCCTGATAGTCTCACAACATCCATGGTAGATGACGTGTTTTATGTGCTACAGAGTTGCTGTAGAAGGGCAATTTCCACTTCAAATATCAACTCGGTGATTGCTGTGTTGAGCAGTGCCTCAAGTTTATTGGGGGGTGAATATGGTGAGGCACTGCAACAACAGATGAGGGAGCCAAATCTAGGAGCAAAGCTATTTTTGGGAGGTGTTGGGGTGCAGAAGACTGGAACTGAGATTGCCACGTCTTTGAACAACATGGATGTCAGTAGTGAGTATGTCCTGAAACTTTGCCATGAGATCGAAAAACAATGTGCAGAAGTAAGTGAGGACTTTACATGGCACATTATTTTGCTTCTTTAAGTTTAAATACCTGGTTTGCTTTTCTATTTCAAATTCATCCATAGGTTAGAATTTTATAAATTTGAGAAGTGATTGAAAAAATTGAATAGCACTTTAGTAATCATTGTAGGTTTACTTAATTTTGATTTTAATAGTTTAGTCATGACAACCATTACCATTCGAAAGATTGAATTTCGATCACCAACTTGATGTGTCAAACTATATTCCAGCTTTATAGGAGAGCCATTGTTTAAAAAGGCTTAATCGGGTACTGAGGCATTTTACTTCCATGAGTCTAAGCTCAATTTTTTTTTCTTTTAATTTATTATGCATTAATTTATACCAAATGTCGAAGATGTCCATGATGGTAAGTACATGAATGTTTTTTGGAGAAAATCTGAAGTATCTATTCGGTATCTTAGTAAGGTAAATGAGCACCACCTTATATTATGTTTTCTGTAATCTTTTTCTTTGTTATGGCATCTACCCAAATTTTTTGCATTGCTCAGACTGAGGCCATTTTCATATATCAGGTATTCCCTGCACCAGTGGACAGGGAGAGAGTTAAATCCTGCTTATCAGAATTGAATGAAATGAGCAACAATTTCAAGAAGGCACTAAGTGTTGGAATGGAGCAACTTGTAGCCACCGTGTCACCTCGAATTCGACCTGTATTAGATAACGTGGCAACCATCAGCTATGAACTATCTGAAGCAGATTATGCAGAAAATGAGTTGAATGATTCCTGGGTTCAAAGGCTTCTCCATGCTGTTGAGACCAATGTGGCGTGGCTTCAGCCACTGATGACAGCCAACAATTATGACTCCTTTGTGCACCTCGTCATTGACTTCATCGTGAAAAGGCTTGAGGTCATCATGATGCAAAAACGATTCAATCAACTTGGGGGCCTTCAGCTTGACAGAGATGCCAGGACACTAGTCAGCCATTTCTCCAGTATGACGCAGAGGACTGTTAGAGACAAATTTTCTCGTCTCACCCAGATGGCAACTATCCTAAACTTAGAAAAGGTGTCTGAAATTTTAGATTTCTGGGGAGAGAATTCGGGGCCCATGACTTGGAGACTAACTCCGGCTGAGGTTAGAAGAGTATTGGGGCTAAGAGTTGATTTTAGACCTGAAGCAATAACTTCTCTTAAATTGTAGACCCTGATTGGTTTATCTTTTATCATTAGTTATGGATTTCTACCGTGTCATGTCATTTTCTCTTGTTTGCTCTTTGAATTTTATCCAAGAGTAAAAGATCAAGATGCCAGAAATGTATCAATCATGACTTTGCTTGTTTCTATTCATTTTGAAATATATAATATTAAACTTTTATTGACGATCTTCTCATTTGGGTCGAATCCTTTAAATATTTTAGTTCATGCAAGTGAAAACTGGAAAATGTGTTACCGTGCTTTACACTTCAGAAATTAGATTTGTTTTTAGAAAATGCTAGCTTCTCTAGAGTTGGGGTTATCCTCTGTTAATTTTTCTTTATTGATGGGCAAATTTGTTCTATATTTATGCTGAGCTCAGAAACACGGATGCGCTGCAGGCTACAACGTATCGGTGTATCGGACACCTGTACGCCTCCGATAAGTTGCCGATGCGTGTCAGAGTTCCTTGCAACGTGTCAGAGACGAGAAAAGGCAGCTGACTTGAAGAAATGAAGAAGAAGTTAACTGTGACCGTTGAATGCCTTGGAAAAAAATGCAACCAGCAGAAGTGTATGGGAAGCAACCTTCAGGGGGAGGAAGGAGAAAGGGGAGAGGAGAAAAGGAAAACTGCTGGGTTGAAAATGTCGTGGAAAAGAAAAGTAAATTAAAAATCTTACTTTTACTAATGCAAATTTTAAATTGTTGGGCCCACCACCTGTAAAATTTCTGATTTAGGACTTGTTCGGTAGAGATTATAAGAATTGATTTTTTGACCGTTAAAGAGAAAGTGGATTTCATTTTGTGAGTAAAGAGGTAAAAAATGACGGTTGAAATAGTAAAATAATAATTGAAAAATTGATTTTTTGGATGAAAAATTGCTACCATACCGGAACTTAGTGTATGTTCCAGTTGTAAACTTTGATAAAATAAGTAAAATTTTATTTGAATAATTTTTGTACCAATTTATTCAATAAAAAATCAAACTTATAAAAGAAGTCAAATAGATTTTCTTCCTCGTAATAACCTGCGAAAATTGCAAGAGAAATTCAAAAAATCCACTTAAATTTTTTTTTTGTTATTTCATCTTTTTCAAGAATCTCATCAATCCATATTTGAAGAATAATTAGTAAGATGAAGATGAAGATATTTTTTTCAAGTTTCGAGCAATATCACTTCTATCTTATTTAATTATTTGAATTTTTTTTTCTTTCTTTTGAAGTTATGAGCGGTCATGCTATAGATGAGGATTTATCTGAACCTCTTTGAAAATATGTTACAAAATCCAATAAATTTAATGAAAAGAGTGGTAACATTTTTTGGCAATGCAATTTTTGTAATGCAATTAAAACAAGTTCATACACAAGAGTGAGAGCATATTTGTTAAAATTACAAGACTATGGAAGTGGGGCTTGTAAAAAATTAACTATGAAAGATATATATAAAATGCAAAAACCAGAAGATGAAGCCAAATTCAGAATGCAAACTAAGGCGAGGAAAAGAATGCTATTGTCATCAAATAATATGAGTTCTAAGAATTGTTATGTTTTGGAGGAAAAGAAATGAAAGAATAATACAATAGAAAATGCTTTTAATTTGACAACATGTGACCAATTGGAATTGGTCACGTGTTGAGAACTATTCTTCTTCAAAAAGAGAGAGAAAATGTGGAAAGGTTATTAAACCCCATTAAAGGCACGTGGGCGGAAAAGGAGTTATCATTATAAGTGATGAATGGAGTGATCCACAAAGAGGATCACTAATTCATTTTATAGTGATGACAGAGAGTGGACCAATGTTTTTAAAAGTGGTTGATTGTTCCAGTGAAACGAAAGATAAATATTTTATTGCTAACTTGATGAAGGAGGTTATAAACGAATTTGGTCATGAAAATGTGGTTCAGGTAATAACGGATAATGCTCCAAATTGTAAAGGTGTTGGGCAAATAATTGAATTGGAGAATCCTCATATTTTTTGGACACTATTTGTTGTGCACACACTAAATCTTGCTTTGAAGAACATTTGTGCCACAAAGAAAGTTGAAAATAATTTGTTCACATGTGAGGAATGAAATTGGATTATTAATTTTCATGATGATGTAATGCTTATAAAAGATTTTATTATGAACGATTCCATGAGATTAGTAATTATTAATGAATTTGTGCCTTTGAAGTTGCTTTCCGTAGTGGAGACAGGATTTGCTTCTATTATTGTAATGTTAAAAAGATTTAAGCTTATCCAACGTGATCTACAAGCTTTTGTTATTAGTGAAAAATGGTTATCGAGAAGATGACATGACGAAGGTAAGTTTTGTGAAAGTGAAAGTGAAAGTGTTTGATAATCTTTAGTAGGACTCTATAAGTTATGTTCTTTCCTTCTCTTCTCCCATTTATGACATGTTTAGATTTTGTGATATGGATAAACATTGCCTTCACTTGGTTTACGACATGTGGGATACAATGATTGAGAAAGAGAGGAATAATTTATAGACATGAGAAAAAAAGTTCAAGAAGAGGAATCATCATTCTACAGTATTGTTTATCAGGTACTTATAGATTATTGAAACAAAAATAACACTCTACTTCAATGCTTGTCTCTCTCTAAATCCAAGGTAATTTTTAAATGTAATTCATACATTTATTGTTTATTTAAATTTTCATAATATTTAATATTTTTAATTAGTTATTGAATAAATTGACATTTCTTTTAATTTTTTTTTCTTGTTTAGGTACTATAGCGATAAATGGCTTAACAAGGATCCCACTCGACTTTCTCCACATAGTGATGTAGAGATTTCAAGAGAAATAATTATGAATAAATTTACCGGCTGGCTATTCTGGTTTATGCTTGCTTGAGGATCTTATCCTATTTTTAATGACGGTTCGAAAGGCAGGCTCAAACAGGGTGCTGTAAATCTTTCATTTTACATGGATAAGGTTATGTCTGAATCTGGGAAATGAATAAACACTTGATTTGTATTGGCCTCTGAATTGCTGGAAAGAAAGGGACAGTACTTAAAACTTGATCAAGTAATTCACATATTTGATGGAATAGAGTCATCTCTGATGATCGAAAAAATCCATCATCTCACAACTGGGTGGAAAATGGAATTATACCAAGTCAGTAATGCTAGCGTTATCACCCTGAACAGTGTTTGCCATTTCAAAAACAGTATCCAACCAACACAAACATAACAAAGCGATACAAAATTGAAACAGAAAAATCCCTTGACACGACCTCGTATGTAGTACGAGAAACACTAATACACGTTAAAAGAGTACTCTATCAGTAATAATTACTACATGCAACAATGTGTTCCTTGATAACTGAAATGCCAACAACATGGTTAGACATGAGCAGTGCCTTGGGTGAATTTTGGATCTTCACATCTGTACTTCCCATCAGGTCCAATTCCAAAACCTCTGGGATCTGCAAATACGTTTTCTAGAAGCTGGCTACGTGCTGGTACGGGGCTTTTATCCGCAAACTCAACAGCATCTTCGACTAGTTCATCAATCTTCTTCTCGATGGCTTTCAGTTCTGCTTCAGTTGCCAACTTGTTTTCAGCCATGTAATTCTTCAATGCAATGATGGGATCACGGGTGGCATAGTGAGCCTTCTCAGCTGCCAAGTAAACAAATACATATTATAAGGTGGACCATGTAAACTTGAGGAGTCGTACAGAGAGAAAAAAAGAAGCTAAAATTTTATGATACAATTTCAAGTTTATGACCTCCAGAGGCATTATTTAGCTATTAAGCCCGTTTGATGGCCATTATAAGGAGAAATTAGGGGAAAATAATGTTTTGAGTAGTGAATTTTTGGAGAATATGTCGTTAAAAAGTATGAAAAGTTTTGGGTCTCACGCAAAATATTTTATTCTGTGAATATGTGGTTGAAAATGAGTATGAGAAATAAAAATGTTTTGAAATAAAAAGAGTCAAACAGGGGCTAAAAAAAAAAAAAGCTTGTAAAAATATAGATTTTAAAGTAAATTAAGTCGATTTGCCACATCTCATGATTTTCATTCAACTCGAGACAACCAATACAATCATTCTGATCCATGGGTTGGATTGCACTCATTGTCTAGGACCCTAGAATACTTTATCCATGGACAGGTGAAGTGCAATCAGAAAGCCATGTAGCATGTAGGTGAAGAAGTGGGCAAGAAGGACCATGTCCCGAGCTATCAATTAAAAAGTTATAAACATTTCACTCACTCATGATACACATTTGTCAACTAAGATCATAATAGTGGCACAATCTTGGTTCAGCAAAACTCTTCACACATGTAAAGCCCAGGAACTCTACATGGAATTGTCCAACTAAACTTATCCATTAATGTTCTTCAAAACCACTGAGATTCTTCAGCGACGAATAAAAAATTCTTGCATGTTTATGTATGCTATGCACAAGTTCTTTACATTGTTACTTGTCTAGATAAACACATATACACAGTCTATATGAAATTAATCACATGTTTCTTGATATTTATATAATTCAGTCCAGGACACAAATAATAATGATTATTATAGTTTAGTTCATGCGAAATTATGGTGATTTGGTGTGGCATTTCTTTAGAATAAGTGATTATAGAATGGCTTTTCATTCAAAAAATGGAAAATAGTTCAAATATATATATGAATGAGGAAGTAAAAATGAAATTGAAATGTTCACCGGGGTCACGGAGCTCATCAGGATCAGCCAGCGAGTGTCCTCTAAACCTATAGGTCTCACATTCAACCAAAGTCGGACCTTCACCTCTTCTAGCCCTGCCAATTGCCTCCTTAGCAACCTCCCTCACCTTCAACACATCCATACCATCAACATGAAACCCAGGCATCCCAAATGCCGGCCCTTTTTTCCAAATTTGTGGATCAGAAGTGGCCCTTACATGGGACATTCCAATAGCCCACAAATTGTTCTCGACAACAAACACGATAGGCAACTTCCACAATGCAGCCATGTTCAAGCACTCGAAGAACTGGCCATTGTTACAAGTACCATCTCCAAAAAAGGCTAAGGTCACCTCATCACAGTCCTCCTTCAAAACCTCCCTCTTGTACTTGCTAGTGAAGGCAGCACCTGTAGCCACGGGAATGCCTTCACCAATGAAAGCAAAGCCACCAAGAACATTGTGTTCTTTAGAGAACATGTGCATTGACCCACCCTGGCCTCTACAGCAACCAGTGGTCTTGCCAAATAGCTCGCTCATGACCTCACGTGCTGGAACCCCTTTGCTCAATGAATGGACATGGTCCCGGTAAGTGCTAACCACACAATCTTCCTTCTTCAAGAGTTTGATGAATCCAGTGGATACTGCTTCTTGACCATTGTACAAATGAACAAATCCAAACATTTTCCCCCTATAATACATCTGGGCACACATGTCTTCAAAAGCTCTCCCCAAATACATATCCTCAAACAGTTCCAGACCCTCTTCTTTTGTAATCAACTGCATGCATACACTCTCACATATTACTTTATACATCTAAACCAATTTCAAAATTCATCAAGTGCTCAAAATCCATAATAATTCATTGATATACACGTACAAAATAGATTAAGACAAACAGAAATTATTGTACTTCATTATAACATAGAAACAGAAGCTATAAATATCACATTAAAAGAAAAAGAAATGGGAAATTGAATACCAGATTGGTAAGTGAGGAGTTAGATTTGAGCTTCTTCTCCTTGACAACATCGGAGGAGACGGCAAAGACGGTGGTGGATCGGCGGGCAAGAGGTGAAATGGGATTGTTAACAGAAAAGAGCTTCGTGTTAATGCGACGCGTGGATCCAAGAAAAGTAGGAGGATTGAGGATTTTAGTGCAAGCATCAGAGTTTTCAACAGATCTGGCAGAGTTAATGGACAAAGGTTGAATGATTTGAGCCGTTGCTGAACAAGCCATATTTGTTCAAGAAACAAAAAAGAAAAGAAATCAAGGGTGGGTTTTTGGTAACAGAAATTGAATTGAAAATTAAAGTTTGAATCAAGTTGAATAGTGTTATATAAAAGAAGATTGTGAATGAATGGGGGCAAGAAAGAAGAAATAAAAAGGGAGGGGGAGGCGGAGAAACCGAGAATGGAAGGGAGGAGAGGTGTGGAAATAACCGTCAAGAGCGTTGGGTTACTTTGTCGATTAATGGGAGCGTGCGGGGTGGGTGAGTGGGGTGGTTTCTTGTAGTTGTGACAAGAAAGGGCAAAGAAGGCCACCCAACTATTAACAACATTGTACATTTGTCAATTTAGTTTACTAAATTTTTCAAATTGAGCTTAGACAACCTAACACTAATATATAGTGTTGCTCACTTTAAAAGTGATACTTTGCTAAATCATTTTATGCAATGGCTCCGTGGAGAAATAGACATCTCTGTATATTGAACTTCTGCGAAATTTTCTCCCTTGACGAGCTGAATAAATTAAATGGAAACCAAAAAAAGAAAAAAGAAAAAAGAAAGAAAGAAAGAGAAAAAAAGAAAGAGGAGGTACATAATTAAACAAGGAATGTTGCTCACTTTAAAAGTGATACTTTGCTAAATCATTTTATGCAATGGCTCCGTGGAGAAATAGACATCTCTGTATATTGAACTTCTGCGAAATTTTCTCCCTTGACGAGCTGAATAAATTAAAAAAAAAAAAAAAAAAAAAAAAAAAAAAGAGGCACATAATTAAACAAGGAAGCTTGTTAATGACATTTTATCATAGCTTTGGTCAAGCGGGCATTAACCCACCATACTGCAAGTCATTGATTGCTTTAAAAGAGATTTCTCGATTTAGAAATGTATACATGTTGCTCCAATCTGAGCAGTGCCGATTTTGTCATTTTCGAGGCCTAAGACGTCTTTCAAAAATTAGACTTCAAAATTGTAGCATGCATGTAAAAATTATAAATGTATTATGGAGTCAATAGCTAATTTGTTAATTTAAAACTTAACAATAAAACAATATAAACAAATTAATTTCTGCCCTATAGTTTTCTCGAAATAAAGCTTCAATTTCAATTTTACTTGCCCTTTTTGTCAGTCTATTATGAAACAAATTCTTATAAGAGGTCGATAGCACCATCAATACTCATATTTATAATTTGAAGAAAGTTGATCATAATATTGACTCTATGCAACAATATGTTCCAAATTACTATGTCGTGCAAGAACTCAAAATTCGGAAGTTCATATGTCAATAAAGACTTGATTTCACTCTATATTTTAGGATTCTTATTAACTTCTATCAAGTGAAGTAGAACGTCTCTTATTTTAAACAATTAAATTGAATATTATCTATGTAATGATCAAGTTGAATAGAATTAAGAAATTACTGCAATATGGGTTTTAAATATCATAAGTCACTTGTCCCTCTTGAAATGGGTGAGAAATGGAATTCCCACAATGAAAAAAACATTTTAGTTATAAATAGAATGAAATGGGCCTAATTATCAAATTTTTAATTAAAAAATCATAATGAACCTAATTTGCCCAAAAAAGAAGAAGAAGAAGAATGAAAGATGCTAAAATTTGAGGCCCCCTCTAATGTTGGGCTTGAGACGCAAGCCTCACTCGTCTCTATTCAAAATCGCCCCTGGATATGATAAACAATGAAAATTATAGTAGATGCAACAATTCCATGATTTGTGGAAATAGACATAATATTTTTTCCCCAATATGAAGTGTCAAAAGATAACCTTCCCAAAAGATGGGCTTTGAAAGACTTGTTTTAAATTTGTTTCAAGTTCATTTATTTTTTTATTTTATTTTATTTTTTTTGATATTCAGGTATCACAATTTATACTAGACTAAATTTTGGACCTCCAAGACCCTTGCCCCTAGAACCTTGGAGGGGGTAAATCGCGAGTTACCTCAACTGGATCACAGGTTCCCCTCATTGCCTGTACACTTCTGCGCACAAGAAACCCTCCTCCACAATGATTGCTCCATACCAAATTTATTGGCCGCAGGTTCCTACCAGAAATCGAACTCTCCACTCTGTCGTTGGAAGCAAGACAATGTTGATTGATCCACCAGTTGAGTTGTGTCCCGGGGGGCATTTCAAGTTCATTTTATAGATATGTATGCTTGGAGTATAAGCCACTATATAAGAAATTTAATGTTTCTCCGCTATATGAATCCTATTTCGTCACATTTCACAGCTAAATCAAGCAATCACTCACCGTACCAATTCTCATGTCAAATATAGTCACAAAAAGACAGAGAAATTAAAATGCAATTATATAAAAAGTGACGAAACAGTATAATTTATATAATGGCAAAAAAATAAAAATTATGAAATAGGCACAATCTCGAAGAGTACATGTACATCTATACATAGGTGTGTAACTATCAGTTCTAAACCCTATTGCGACATCAATGAGTATCCTTCTCATCGTGCAGAAAGAAGCTCCTAGTCGAACAGACTGAATCCCATGTCTTCATAACTCTCCTCTTTTGGCTCTTATTGTTTCACATTATCGATTTTATGAATAAGAGTATAAGCAATAGGAGAACAAAAGACCAAACGAAATGAATTAATAGAAGAATGAAACCAATACCTTCTTCTCCTCTGGAGGAGGAGCTGCAGCAACAGCAGCACCGATAGGAGCAGCTAAAGCAACTGCAACTGCAACACCAACACCTGCACCAACGTTTGTGATCAGGTCTTTGATGTTCTTTTTCTAGGCTAGCTTAGCAAACAAATGGGCTAGTAGGACTCAACGCTTATGTTTGCGGCTTTCAGAAGAGTTGCAATCTTCTCCGCCTGTTTGATTTAGAGAAATTTACATAAAAATACTTGAATAGAACATTCCTAGGCTGTTTGGCAGCGATTTTTCCCCTAAAAATTTGATTTTTTGGCCGTTATTTCACTATTCCAATCGTCATATTCTTACAGGTGAACCCACTTTTCTCCAAACGGTAAAAAAATCAATTCTCAAAATCACTCCCTCTTATATTTCTTAATATCCAAATTACTCTCATGTTCATAATCTTGATCTTATGTTCCCCTTTCCCCAAACTCTTTCCCTCTCATTTCCCCACGAGTAATCCCTTCCTCTTTCCCCTACCACCTCACTATCGCTCACCTTCTTCTATCTTCTAATAGGACTCCAGTTGTGTTCATTTCACAAAGTCATAGAATATTGGGGGTATGTTTTGACATGATCAGGGTAACATGGTGCCCTCTTGAAGAGGTTAAGGTGGATTTATCACTTTGGGGCTGATTTGACTAGTTTAAAGAAGAAATTATTTATTTTAAAAGTAACTCTTAAGTTAATGTCAAAACTTCATTAATTTTTTTACACAATCCATCCAAGTTATAATATGAATTTTAAAGCTCCTAGTCAAACAATGGTGAATAGTTTGGCAATATACCGTACATGTAGATTAAAATCTGAATAAGGTGCTATCTTCATTAAAATTACATCGAAGAATAAAATTCTAGTGAGCATTAAGCTAGGAGATACTATCTCCTTTATTTATTTACTTATAAATTAATTTACTAGTAAGTAAACCTTTTAGGATTAGCAAAACAATGACAATAAGAATTTCGAGAAAAATTCTGCTTTAATTTATTCATAATGACTATCTAGAAAAAATAATTTCTTTGCAATAAATCAATAAAATAAACAATAGAAATAATGAAAAAATAATGCATATAGTGATTGGGATGCCATCATCGCTTTGAATCAAGCAAGCGTAGGTGTAAGCTATCTCTCTGAAGGACATCTTCTTCCTACTATGCGATTTTGATACTGCTATAAACAGATAAAATGTAGGGTAATTAGTACAGCTCTTGTGGAAATGAAACAATGTTTGCCATGAAAACAAATTTATATTAACACTAGGGTATTTATCTAATACGAAAATAGAAAGAATTTACCTAAGGAGGTTTAGTTAGTAAGTCTACCAATCGATCTTGTGACACCATATGTAACATCTTTACTTCTCCTGCTTGCACTTTATCGCTTACAAGATGACAATTGTTTTCTATTTGTTTCATTCTTTCATGAAATACTTGATTGTTGGCTATATACATGGCCAATTGGTTATCACAGAAAAGTAATGCTGTTTTAGTACGTACATCACTCAAGTCACTGAGTATGTTTTTTAACCAACTCAATTTACAAATTACAGCTACCATGACCGATATTCTACTTCAATTGATGATCTTGAAAACGTGTGCTGCTTCTTAGATTTCCAAGACACTGGTGAATTTCCCAGTAGCCTATAACAGATTTTCTTGCATCCAAGCGTGCCACCCAATCTACATCACAAATTCCTTTGACCTGTAGATCATATTTGCTACTAAAGAATAGATCTTGTCCAGATGTCCACTTCAAGTATCTCAACACATGATGATCTGCTTCTGAATGAGACTGTTTTGGTGACTCAAGGAATTGACTAAGGACCTGCACTGCATATGATAAATCAGGCCTTGTTATTTTCAAGTATAGTATCATTCCCACCAGCCTTTAGTATATACTAGCATCTGCAACAGTTTTACCTCCATCTTTGCTCAACTTCAAGTTATGTAGTAAAGGACTCTTTGCTGGTTTAGCCCCAAGATAACCAGCATCTGCCAATCTTTACAATGCATACTTTCTTTGACAAATAGATCTGCCTTTGGAGGTTCTTGCTATTCCAAGTCCTAGGAAATACTTTAGAGATCCCAAGTCTTTTAGTCTGAATTGGTCATTCAAGTCCTTCTTAAACTGTTCAATGTATGATGAATCATTTCCACTTATAGTAATGTCATCTACATAGATAAGAAGCACAGTAAATGAGTAGCCCTGTTGTTTGCTGAATAAGGAGTAAACTGATTTGGATTTCCTAAAGCGAATGTAGGAAGTTAGTTTGGTATTCCATTGTCTTGATGCCTACTTGAGTCCATAGATAGACTTGTTTAGTTTGCAAAACCAAATTTTCTCCATTCCCTCATTGCTGCTCATAGCTTGGTGGCATCAACATATAAAATCTTCATCGAGTTCACCATGAAGAAATGTATTTTTAATGTTGAGCTGATGGAGGTGCCACTACTTTTGAGCTACAACAGCTAGAAGGGTCTTCACTGTTACCAACTTGACAACAGGCAAAAACATTTCTTCACAATCTAGGCCTGCCTGTTGGGTGAAATCTTTGGCTGCAAGTC